GTTCTATATAATGAACAACATAATTAAAGAATATATTTATGATTTAATTTTGCATATAAATTAAAGTAAAGTCATACCTCACAGCATTCATTCGGTTAGAAATTTCATTCTTTGTGTCATATATATACAATTGCGCAAACTTTGGAGAAGCACCTTTAGAAGGAAGCAAACTACCGATTAGATGGTAATTCTGTCCATGCAAAGAAAACACCGGTGGCCCAGTCCCCTTATTGATATCGGAATCTATCTTTCCTCCCAAAGAAGTAAAACCGAACATGCTATTGTATGATCTTATGTTATCCTGAAAATGTTTGCTTAATTGGCCATCTCCATGAAGCAAATCTTTCAAGAATTGGGGAGGATTTTTCAAAAGAGGGAGTTCAATTTTTCCATTTGTGCAACAAATGGTGTACTCAGGTACAACTGCATTTTGATTATAAGACTTTCTCTCCTCATACCAGAACATCGAACCGCAGTACATACAACGAAAACTTGCATCTCCAAAGTCCCAGTATTCTGTAAATGTTTATGTAATTAAAATATTTAGAAAACATACTTTTGTTCAAATTTTTAGTTGTCTAATAAAAAGACTCGTATAATATTACCAGAAACTGCTGAAGATGATCCAGTTGTTTTCCTAGGACGACCACGTTTTTTTTTCTGTGTACTTGGTTGAATTGGACTATCAAGCGTGAGATCAATAACAGAACTTTCAGTGTTGGTTCCATGAGTTATCTCATTACTAATATGCTACTCATCACGTGTGAGATCGATAAAGATGCTATCAGGCGGATTATGCGTGGGCTTCTCAGAAGATAATATACGACGCTTACATTGTCCTGATGACATAAAAAAAGACAATAATATATATAAACAATTGTTTTTTATACACAATTTATATTTATATTGTAAACCAAAAAAGAATATATAATTTGATATAGAAGAGACAAAAAATGATGTTCATGCACGTACCAAATGACACACCTGAGGTGCTCGAAGATCCAAGTTTGGACTGCAATACTATATAAAAACAACGATTTTACTTACATTTTTTTATTTTTTGATACTCCATATAGTCAATATTTTTTAAATAAAAATCTGAATATACATATATTTTATAAACTCATAAATTATTTGATTTTAAACAAACGTACCATTTGTTATGTCAGAAAGCGGTGAATCACGTATACTATTCATCACATTGTACGATGATTGAGCGTGCAGATGACGGCCATGCACATTCATCGTATTTGACCCTGTAAACAAATATTATATAAATAAATTGCTGGACGATAATTAGAAAAAATCTATATAACAAATTTAGAATCATAATTAAACTGACCAGATACTCCTGACGATAATGGTGTTTTCCTAGGATGACCACGTTTTCGTTTTTGTGTACTTGGCTGTAGGTCTACATAATTAGTGCAACTGCTAACAACACGTGTCGTGGTACTTGAAGTAGGTACAATATCGTTTTTAATTTCATCTTCACTCGTGAGATCAATAATAATGTTTTCTTGTGCTTTTGTAGGAACATTAATGGAGTTCTAATATGGTCATTTGCACCTGTTATTAAATAGAAGAATAAAAAATAATGCAAAAATAATCACACATCTATAAAATAAAGCAATCATATAGATCCACACACACACAAATATATGTATATATATATATATATATATATATATATATATATATATATATATAACCAAATGTTATTATATTTTGTATTGCTGAATGAAATAAAGTAATTGACTGATATTTAGTATTACTATAGATTACAATTGATAAGTTATAAATTACAATGTTAAAAATATAAACTATATAATATATAATCTCTAATAATAACAATAACAATGTATATAAAATATGACATCTAAATATATTAGTTGTCCAGTGTGGGCTATTAGTCACCATAATGTTTCAAACAAAATCATTGTGGGCCAAAATATAATCTAATATTGTATGAACATTAATTTAAATGGGACACAATCTGGTCCAGTGGGCTAAAATATAAATGTATGCTCATTTTGCATTAGTTCAGTCCATCTGCCAAACAAAAAACCCCGTATATTTCATTATAATATGCGGACGGTGGAGATCATATCATCTCAAATCGACGGCCAGAATTTCACCTCAGCGGGTATAAATACCGAAAAAGTCAGAAATGAGGGTTTGGGTCTCACCTCATTTCCACCGCTCCAACTTTCCCAATACATCTTCTCTCCAATTTTTTTTTATTTGCTATTAATATCAGTAATTCAATTTGTTTATTTGATGTAATTTTTTGAAGCAATCGATATGCTTCCGATCTTGTAAATGATTATATTGTTTGTAATATTTTTTTCACATATATTGATTCGTATGTAAGAGAATCATGTAATTTTATGTTCATTTTTCAGTTTTTCTTTCGCGATTTTGGATCTTTTAGTTTATAAATTGCGTATTATGGCCGGAGACACCAAGATTTCGATGTGTTTGGGTAGGACCGCATCGGCAGAGTATGGATAAGCTTAAGATCCGCATGGCCGGAGTTTCAGTAAGATCCGCATCGCCAGAGTTTGAGATGATTGGGTAAGATTATGGTCGGATTTTTTCAGTTTCATTACAGTGGCGTTCATTTTTTAACATTTTGATTGTTTTTCTTACATTATTTTCCACTCAAATATGAAGATTCCGATATGTTTTGATAAGATCCGCATCGCGACAGCTCTTTTACGCTTAATATCCACATCACCGGAGTTGGGTTAACCGGAGATTTTTTTGATTGGGTAAGAGACTCGCCGGAGATTCCCAGTATGTTTACCTTTCCTCAAATGTTGATTCACTTGAATTTTTTTTATTACATTATTTTACAATTAAACATGCAAAAATTTGAATGCTTAACCAAAATTTCAGATCATCACTGTGGATTTGGGGGTCTTAAAGAAGATCGACGCAAGGCTGGGAACACGAAAAAGGTCTGATCTTCTTTATTAGCTTTATCATCTCTGTGTATAAATTTGACCAAGTCCCGCATTTATCTTCAATTATCTAAGGATTTCAACGAAAAAATTTAATTTATTTATAATGTTTTACCATATTTTTATGAGAACCGTTCTTCTACAAATTTGAAAAATCGTCTTAAATAACAACCTTGTTAAGACAATCCTAATATAATTCATCAGATAATGGTAAATTTGATTCTGATTTGAAAAGAAAACGATACGAATTTATATAGGTTCACAAATATAATATTTGACCTATACAATTCCTTATATTAATTAAATTAAACACTTACAAATAATATTTTCTTTGGTCACAGGAATGATGCTTGGCTGAGAATGAAGTGGATCGCAAAGGTAATTAAAAGGTAAGGCTGAAATGAGCATAATGGTGGGCTACAAAACAGGAAGAGAGGTATGAAATATCTACTTTTACACTTCATTACCTAGGTTTACGTTTTCTTTGGCCATATCTCTGTTGCTGTGCTTATTGCTTTTTCCATTGTACTTGAAATGTTTATCATTCTGCATCTTTATATGTTCTTGTTGTTGGTCTGCAAAATCAGTTATGAAGCCTTGTGAAGTACTCTATATAATCTGTCAAATATAAAGTAAAAACATTAATTATGAATAACCAAACTTAGTATATACATTAAGGTTTTGTTTATCCACTCTCTCAGAAGACAAATGAAATTTACACTTCAAACATATTTGAATACTACTGTGAACCAATACCTGATATATACGACTGTCTTAAGCTTTGTGTAGTATTCTTTGCCCTCTACAATTGAAAAATGTGTAGATCATCATCCGAGACTGCCACTCAATATCTCTATATGCTTCAGAAAGTCTATCTTGTGCGATTACTTGTTTCAATCTCTTGTCATGAATGTGTATGAGTATGGTGATTCCGTTGGCAATTGCTATGGGATGTTTTTCATATAATATGTATGCTCTCACGATTTTGAACTCTAAATAATGTTTATGTGTATATAAGGGGATTAGATAAGTATGAGGTTTAAAACATATGCACAAATTTTCCATATCTTGTATAGAATATTAGGAGATACTTATCCTATTAGACATCCTCTTAGACGATTTAGGAACAAGTTGAGACGCCCATAAAAAGTATTTTTGCCCCAATTAGAAGATTGTAATTGTAATAATAAAAAAGATTTGATATCTTTCCATAATTTGAACAATTTAAAGTAATATAAAAATTTAAAAAGGTATTTATAACAAAGATTCTTATGAACACAATATTTAGATATTTTGTAAGATTAATATATAAAAAAGGAAAATTATTTCGGAATGTGGTAATACCTGTTTATGATGGAATAATTTTATGCTTTTTTGTATTTGTTCTTATATGAATATTAATCGGAAATTATACGATACACATCTATTTTGTAACTTAGATTTAAATAACATAAATATATAATTGTTTAAAGTATTAGTATTAGTACTGATAACTAATAATTATATCCAAAACCCGACCGTAATTGAGTTTCTGCTGAATATATTATACGAAGTTGGAGTTTAAATATCAGAAATAAAATATGTAATATGACCACAATAATATTGGCGAATCATCGTAACGTTTATTTATTTCCATCTAATAAGGTGACAAATATACAAATATAGGACATAAGAAACATTAAACTTAAGCATCATATAACTTAAAACGAAATAAACATAATGTTTTCACCAAATCCGTAAAAAAGGTGCCAATCAAACGAATCAAGAAATTATTCAAACTTCTTTAATGTGTCGAATAAGAAATAGCAATCGAATAGTTAAATAAAACACCATATGTTATGGTGCCTTCGTCTTTCAATTTTCAGCAACATCCTCATCTTGTACTCCACTGGGGTCCAGTTTCTCAATCTTGCCCTTCCCTTTATCGGCATTTGCCGATCCACCAGATTGATCCACATTGGGTGTTGTGGATAAATCATTCAGAAGCTTCCGTTTTGCTGTGGAAGTGTCACCCTTTTCGATAGGTTGAAAAACCTTTAATGGTGTAGAAACCTCATCATCCAAAGTTGCATCCTACGTAAGCATAATAAAAGAAACAAATAAAATATAAAAATAATAAGCCAAAACATGTATTTTGAGACTAATACACACCAGCCCATTGTCGTGGTCTTCCCTTTGCAGTACTGTAAGAAAGTCAGATCTCTACATATATAAACAATAAATGATTAACCGAGTTTATTTCAATATATCTATATTTAATTATTATTTCTATATCTACATATAAACAATTTATATGAATATATATGTATATAAAGTATATGATACATTTATTTGATTACCTCGTTCTCCACAAACCATTGGTTGTACATGGAGACTAAAGTTTCACCAGCCACAACTCTTACGACTGGAAATGAAGCAGCATGCCCAGATGGATGTTTTGGATATACACGAACCTTGAAAAGGATCGTCTTACCAACTAAATTAGACACATCATCGGGGAGTTCAAAGCTATTGGGATGCTGTTTCAGAACATGAGTTAAAATATCAATGTCAATTTACTTAATTAAACATATTTGTAATAAGATGTTACCTAACATATCAGTACCTCGTGAAGAAATGTGCTTCTCAAGACCTCACATGGTGTTCCAATCATCTTTTCTGATTCCCTATCCCAACAAATGAACGTTGCACTTGATGTTGAATCCGAAACAACCAAACGAATTTTGTACCTTGACATGAAAATTGTAATATAGCTATAGTAATAATCTACAGTATAAATATAAAATCGAATCAAATTTTGTAAGTATAATTAATCGGAAAGTATACATACCTCGTTACTCCAAATTGATGTGCACATTTGGTGCAACTTAATTTTCCATCTTCATCAGCCATCTTGCCTTTGCAACGTCTACATACGAGGTACCACCATTCATCCACAATTGAATCAATTGTAGCACATACCCAACATTTGATTTCCTAATATTACATTAAACAAATAGGTGCATAAGTATTAATTTCAGTAAAAACATCTATAGTAATATATAAACTTAAAGTAATATAGTTAATAATTAATACCTCGTCAGAGTCAAATAGAGAATTTACAGAACTAACAACTAAATCACCATTTTCTAGCTCTTCCATTTCACTCTTCAAAACAATTTTGCTATTGGTGACATATTTCCTCTTCTTGGCCCATGGGCTTGCTGAAAATCTATACATATAATATATATAATATTTAGATAATATAAATAATCTATTTAAATATAATATGTTGTATTATATGTATGTAAAAATAAAATAATAAGATATATGTAAATCAAATATAATATAATAAATGTAATATTTACTTCCGCCGAAAATCAATCAAATCTGGGAATGGTGCAACAGCATCTAGACGGGTGACATTCATATGGGTAGCCAATTGAACCTCAGTTGTTGTATATAAATACAAAAAAAAATAAAAAAAATAATAATAATATCATTAATATATTTTAAAATATCAATCAACATAAATCTTTAATGTACATTTAATTTTACCCAAATGAAAACATAACTCTCATATACCTTCCCAAAATCGTGCCCGACAAAGCTGCATAATTAGCACCCACGGTTCACCAGTTGCCTCGGACTCAAAGTGAGTTTCAAAAGCAATGAGTTGGTCAACATAATGACCCCAGAGTGTGGACTGAATAACAATGCCACTGAAAAAAAAAGATTTTGTGGTTTAATAATATATTATGAACAACACTACAGAAACAATTCGTGGAATTTGAAAAATATCTACTTACTTTAAATCCATGAGTAAAAAGACAATCATTTGGTTTTTTTTCCATGAACCCATTTAGACTGAACAGGATGAATTTCAATCACCATACCAATAACATCTACATTGTATATAAAAGAATGTTAATTTAAGATATCTATGATAATAATCAATAAAATACTAAATGTAAAATACAAATTGACAATAAATTATACAAATTACCGAAAAGATAAGATTCATCCACATTCTCAACATCTTGAAAGTCAGCAAAGCTACGGAATTGAAAATGCCAAGAAGGAAAGTATGCGTGCATTTCTAGAACCTCTGTATTGCTATGAATAAGGAGTTTGTATTTTGCAACTGTAGATCGATACTTATCGATGTTTCTGTCTAAATAGTAGTTCCGGATATTATATACGCCACATTCGTAGAAATAGCCAGCCATCTTTGATAAATGAACGCCACGAATAATACCACTAATGCGAGTCCCCTAAAAAACAATCAAAAAGTAATATAAAGACCAAGAAAATTAACATAGTAATTGAACAATTTAATAATTAACACTACAATAACCTCTTCATCATGAAATACGATCTCCAATTGTCTAAGATGATTGGAATCATATGATTTTTCGAACATACGAATTGCTCGAAGTTTTAGCATGAATCTCTTACTCCTCTGAATCTGTCGGATGAAGCCAAACGGTTGATCCATGTTATCTTATTTTGTTGGGTTGTATATTCACGGTAAAATAATGATAAAATGCGCGATTGATAACTGCATGGGCTGATATTATGGTATGAGGTATTTATAGATATCGCCTCAATCAATGAATATCTTAATAATTGTTTGATATATTAATGTCATATATATTTCGCAGATTTGATATATATGATAAAAAATTCAATATAATATATCTATATATAAATATATAATATATATTTTATTGATTGAGGCAATAAATAGTACCTTATATATCGCTTTGATAATTGTTCGGTAATTGCAAATATCTTATATTTGCTATGATCTTTGGT